ATATATATATATATAACTTTTCATATATATGAGTAGATGTAAAATGACATTAAATCCGACGTGTTATATTTTTATACTTATTATAAAAATATAAGTAATTTTATACGTGCTCATGAATTTTGGTACATACCAACGCGTGTGGATTATTAACTTTAAAAATCGTATTATTATAGATGCTGTAATTTTACCGATTTTGTAAACTATCTATCTTATGGAAATTATTGGTTTCATATTGGTTGAAACCTGACTTTTTGTCAAAACACAACCGTTATACTGCCCGATTTTAATCACAAAAAATAATATAATTTTTGGAAATATTAAGTCTTGTAAGTTATATAATTTAAAGACTCGACCATCGTCTCTCAAAACGATAGGAACTAATATTAGGGCCTGTTTGATAAGCCTGCTAATTGGGTCGGAAGCTAGGACTCGGTCCGCAAGCTTCAGTCCATATGTTTGATTTGGTGCATTTCGTCGGACTCGGTCGGAAGAAGTGGATTCAATCGGAAGTTTTCTCCTGATTTGGTCCTCGGGAAAAAAGGTGCGGACTCGGTATTTTCTTTTACATTTCCTTAATTGCCCTCAAATTTTGATTCTTCTCCATCAACCCACCAACGACGCTGCTACACACACCAGCACCACCACCAACGGTAGAGACACAATCGATTAGGTATGATTATTGTATACTTCTTGCCCTTTTAGAAATCAAATCGATAGATGGAAGCCTCACAAACATGATTGGGATTCCAATTCATAGATATTCCTTCATTTGCTAACTTTTTAATTTGTTAGTAAGGATCCTTCGGTGATTTTCCTTGGATTCATTTGTTGGAAATTACATGGGTGCCCCACAAACCATGGGTCAAATGAGATGAGAAGTGAATAAATAAGTTTTTGTTTATTGGATTGAATTGTAACGCTATGAGAAAAAGGTTGCAATTTTCACTTTCTTCTTTGCATTAGGTACATTTTCTTCTTCTTAGGCTTTTTTATATTGTTTTTCGATAATTTGATTTGAGATATATGTGTTTTCTTTTTTCGTTTCTAATTTCAAACGTTTTCGATTGTTGAGTTGTTAAATCATTGATATATCTGTGTTTTCTTATTTGTAACTTCATTATTGATGAATGATTGGTAGATAAATCTCAGTTTTTCACAATTTTTTTTGCTCATAATCATTGATATATATTTTCTTATAAATCATGTTATAAACAAAGAGTAATTGTATGATATTTGTATTGAACTTGGTGTTCTGAATCTATTTGCTATGTGGACTGTGGTTTGTCTTTCTCTTTTGTATATATGTGATTTGATCTCCTATTTTAGTTTGATGGTTTAATTAATAATTGAATTTTGAAGGACAAAAAAGCCTCCAGATCAACACATAGTGATTTTTTGCTGGAAGGGATAATAATAGTGATTTTTTGCTGGAAGGGGTAATAGAAGATGGAAGAACACTTGCAGTTGTCATAAAAATTAATTGGCTCTTTGAATTTTGAATGGTTAGCAATTATCCAAGTTGCCCATGAAAGTATTGAAGAATTTGTATCCAAATAACTAAAGGTGAGCATTTGGACCGAACCGGACCTGACCGGCTCTTGGACCGGACCGGTTATGGAGAATATTATGGACCGTGGACCGGACCGGATGTGTCGTGTCCGTGTCCGTGTCCGGGTCCGGGTTTTCCGGTTCTTGGACCCGTTTGGACCGGTACAACTTTAATTGCATAGAGTACAAGTCGTCAAAATAAGTTTTTGGGTTTGATAGAACTCGTTAAAAAAAATATGTTATTGGGTTTGATACGATACAACTTGTAAAAATGATTACGTTTTCGTTTCATGCATAACTACTCTACCTTGATGTTAGAATATGATAACTTGCAAAATTAATTTTCCAAATAAAAGCAACTAACATATAAATCAAGTTCACCATGATCCCTTTCATATGATTTATCTTTCAAAGATACATAAAATTCATAATTATAGTCTAAAATAATAGTTAAAAGGTTGAAATATTTCAGCTTTGATAGCTTAACTTTGAAGGATTGTAACTCACTGAATAGAATACCAAAATCAACAAAATTATAGTCTAAATTCATCTACAAATTGTAAACTAAATGTTGGAAAAAACCGCAGGTCAATCCGATTTAAAACGAATGAGTTATGATTGTTTAAAAAATTTTACAGATTACAAAATTTTAAAAATCTTGCTGAGAAGCTGAAATTTTTCAGCTTTGATAGCTCAACTTTGAAAGACTGTAACTCATTGAATATAATACCAAAATCAACAAAATTATAGTCTAAATTCATTTACAAACTGTAAATTAAACGTTGGAAAAAAGCGCGTGTCAATCTGACTTAAAACGAATGAGTTATGATTGTTTAAAAGAATTCACAAATTACAATTTTTTTTAAACCGGGTCCAACCGGTTCTAAACCCGGTAAAAACCGGACCGGACTGGGAAAAAAACCGGACCGGTTTTGATGGATTCCTAGAACCGAGAACCGGCCCGGGTGTCCAAAAAAATGGTTCGGTCCGGTTCGGTTTACCGGTCCGGTCCGGTCCACCGGTCCAAATGCCCACCCCTACAAATAACCCAAGCAATTGTCATTTTATTTATTGGTTTCTTGAATGGTTAACCGTTGTCCAATTTCTCCATGAATTTACATGATGTTTGGATATTGATGCTGTTTTTTTATATATTTTTATGTTGGATAAAACTGCAATGTATAAATTAAATGGTAAATCATAAAGGAATTATTATAAAAAATATTGTTTGAGGGTAATATAGTCATTTTGCATAGTTGGTCAGATATAAAATCAAACAAGAAGTTTCAGTCAGAAGTTAACTCAGTCAGAATTTCTAACCCAATCAGCTTCTAACCTAGTCAACTCTAACCCAGTTAGCCACTATCAAACGACCCCTTAGTCTATTAAAAGTTTACGACTAGAACATTTGCACATCGAAAAGGATCACTAAAACTCGGGATTTCTTATATTTGTTGTTTCTCTTTCATCAACTAAGTCCTCAAATCTTAGTGAAAACCCTTTGTATTATAACTGTTAATATGCATGGAATGAAGAACTGTTTGGTATAGATCTATACGAGTGGACTTGCCCGCCTGTGGCTGCTAGATACAACCTACGTATGACGAGTCAACGGACGCAAAAGTTATGTCTCTTATTATCCCACGACATCGATGAAACATCGGTGGTGTTCTCAACATGCAACTTATGCAGTGCGATGTTCGCAGCATGATTCAGTGCTACCCCAGAGGTATTTGCGTCTATAGTTTGGTTATAGGTTCATCATAGGCCCCAAAGTTCGTTAAAATATACATATTGAAT